ACATACTGTTAAACAAGATTTTGATTTCCTTGATAATTCTGACGAAGACTTCATGATTACGGAAGACAGTACTAAGCAATTTAATGAGCTTGAAAGTTGTTACTTTCGCAATTCGTCGAAAAATTTGAAAGACGATATTAGATACATGCCTAGTACATCGAGAAACTCAGTAATTAAGAATGGCTGTCTTGATGATACATCGAAAACCTTGAAAGTGAAAAACAGTTATTTTGATAATTTCTCGAAAAATCTTAAACCATGTGGCATATCAACACCGAAAAATGATAGACATTCGAAATTGTCTTTGAAACGAAACAAAGCTCAGCAGGATTCAAGTACGATAAATTTGAGTCTCTTCAAAGCGCCTGATAAATATGTGAACAATACAGCAGAAAAAAAAATGTTTAAATCTAATCCTGATACGCCGAAGCGAATCTTTCCTTTGAATGAAAAAATCGCAAAGAAAAGCAAGCGTAGGCTCGAACGTGAAAACAATGCCAAAAATGAGTTTATAGATGACGAAGCTGAAGTAGACTCTGATGTCAGTTCGGACGAGATCGTTACAGATAACGAGGATTTTAGAGATTTCGTGAGCTATACACAATTGTCACAGGAACAAGTCGATATGCATGCGCATTATCTGCAAACTGTTAAGAGCCCGATAAATAAACCAGGTGCTTTTCATTTTAGGGAACCACGGTCACCTGGCCTAAATACAGAGATCTATTCGCAGCTTTCATCGCAAATTCAAAACTCGTATCTTTATGTACGTATATGATTGTATTACAACAAACTTTACCTTCGATTTGTACGAATAATCGATCTAATTTGTATATACGAAAATTTAATGAAATACTATTTAAATATCTATTTACTTATGATTTTAGGATTCGTTTTGCGTTGCGGAAGACGCAGAACCAAGCATACTCCATAATAATTTGTCATTAGATAGAATGGAAAGGAAATTGGAACAAAACAGACGAAAACGTATCTGTTTTGACAAGAATACAAACCATAATAAAAAGAAAAAGATAAATATTTTTAATTGCTCTGTGAGCAGCGAGGATGAGATCGAACAGCTGCGTTTACAAGTGCGGGAAGACTGATTATAAGTTAACAATAATCCAGCTGTGATGTGTCGATGTATAATAAGTTATGAAATGTAGTGAGAAATTTATTTTCATATGTACAGAATGTAAATACTCGTTAAAAATTCAAATGTATTTTTATATAACAACATTTTTGTAATAAAATTGTGTAAAGATCTATCTTTAATCAAATGCAGGGTTTGATAAGGAGGGTTCGACCCACTTAAAAAAGCCAAGATGAAATGCCGGTGTGTTTAGAGTAAAATTGCATAATTCCAACGAAACGCGATTGCTGATAGAACGTTAAAAATAATAGAAGTCTTCGACGTACAAGGGTACGTCGAAGTTCGAGTTTTTTTTATAGAAAAATTTTCAAAAATTTTAATTTTTTTAAAACTAAAAAATTTTGAACTGGCATAGTTTTTGTTCTATAAATTATAGAGTAAATAAACTAAAACTGAAGTTTTGCCTTGACACACTTGCGTGAAATTATTAACAATTATGTGTAACTTTTCCTAGAAGAAAGAGTGAGATCTAGGGTAGGGTAGAAAGTGTGGGAGGTAGAACATAAAAGAATGTGTAACTTTTCCTTCAATTATTTATTAAATTATAGTATATAAAATTTATGATTTCTCAAAAATGCTATTTTCTTGAAAAAATTCATAAAAAATCTATTAATAATTATAAATAACATTTTAAAATCTCGTGACAAAATTTTCTTTCAATTTTTAGAAAATTAAAAAATTTGTTTAATTTATTTTCAGTTTTAATTTTCATCTCTCAAATATTAATTGTATTAAATATAAAATGTACTGAAACTTTATTTTTATTTTTTTGAGCAAATTTATAAAAAAATCTATGCGTAACGAATATTTTAAGACCTCGCACGTGATGGAATTATTTTTTGTCAAAAAATGAATTGAATAAAAAATGATCAAAGACTGATCAGGTCGATTTTATATGGAATGTTTCTTGTACAGATATATATTTGTGTATATTATATTAAATAATAAATTAAATTAAATAAATATTAAATTGAAATTAATTTTCATAATATAATTATCTATTATATTAAATACCGAATCTTGCTAATCATTAGTGGACTATAAAGAATAAAAATGCATAAAACTTGGAAAAATAAATACCAATAGAACCCAAAAAACCCGGGGTTTAAAAAAACCGTTGGTTTATTTACTGAGAAATTTTGTAATGATACTTTTACCGTATCTTTTCTAATAGTAATATGTATCTTTACAGCTTGTATCCACTTAAGGACTGCGTATTGATTCATGATGATAATGTATCTATTAATGGTTGTTCAGCAGAAATCAGCGTTTCACACTGATTAGATTATGTAATATTCAAATGGTTATATAATATTCAGGTTTAAATGAATAGAAGAATGGTAAAAAGTTTTTCAAATCATAATTATGCATAAACGATTATATATTTTGTGCGTGCGTGCGTGTGAGCGTGCGGGCGTACGTGCATGTATTCATATAATTCGAAAAAATGGAATAAATATTATATAATTCAATTTATTGTATTTATACATATTAAGTTGTCGATACATGTTCGTTCAGTAATGCGATGCAATATCATAAGATAAGACAAATGGTATTAATTGCACAAATAATGTCGAAAAAAAATGTTTTGATATTGTTAAGTTATAATTAATACAGTTTTATTGCTAAAATAAATTTTATTGATTAGCATCATATTCCAAAGTATACACGACATATTCAATTATGATGAAAAAGATGTATTCGGGAATAAATTTTATGGTATTTCCGCGCAGTCACTTCTCCCATACAGTTGTCCAATATCCATATCTAGCACTACTTCAGAGATAGTACGGGAATTGATGCTTCGTGATGATGCATGAATGATGAACATTAGATATTAATAGACACATACCTGTGATGGATTTGTTGAACAGGTATTGTCAAAAAGATAGAAGATGTTCCAATAAATGAGAATGGATTGAAATAGATTGAAATAGATTTAGATTTGCAAAAGTACGCTTCGTGAATTCATTCATAACGAATTCATGAAAATTTCATAATAATTACGTTGGCATGATTTTTAATAATGCAGCAGTTTTGTCAGAATAAAATTTCTAAATAATATTTGTTAAAGATTAGAAAAATTCAATTTGAGATACAAATTTTTTATAATTATTTTTAAAAACGTTTGATTATTTAAAATGTTGTCAGGTTGATAATACGTGTATAATAATATTTCATGTTGTAATATTTCTATATTATAATTTAGAAATAATTATAAATTTTTATATACGCATATACAATATGGATCAATTTAATTCTTTCATGTACAATTATATTGCTAAATGTTTTAAACATAATATTTTGAAATATTTTTCTCAATTAAACGATTTTTTTCTAAATTTAATTTTGCAAATATGTACCGCTAGGATTCGCTATTATTTTGAAATATTTAGGGCCGATTGTTTCACCTTTTGGTAAATTTTACCTGTGAGGTAAATCTAGTAATCTCTGTGTATGTGATTGGGTAATCTTGCTACTTAATTACCCAACTGGTAAAATTTACCAAAAGGTGGAACAACCGGTCCTTATTATTTTAAAATTAATTGTGTAAAAACATATCAATATTTTATAAAAGATAAATATTTCTGATTTTCTGCATCTATTTTTATAAATACATATATACATATATTGCAGATCATTATATATACACAAGATTTCGTCATATATGTTTCAAATATTTTAAAATATTTTGTTTTAAAACTAAAAGTTAAATTGTAATTTGAAAGTTGATATTTTTGCCTGAAATTATTGTTGTTTTCTTTAATTTTTCTCAAAATTGTGATGTGATCTGATAGACAAATTTAAATCGATTTCGTGTTCAGTAGTAGCCGTACAAAAATATATCATGAAAGTAACTAATTCACATCCGTATTGAAAAATGATGTTGAGCATTATTATTTTCAACGGTAAAAGACAAGTTGCGCATAAAATAATTGCGCAGTGTTATAGCATAAAATTAAAAAAAATATTATTTAGCTTATTCGTATCGCTGTTGTATAGAATAATGCGTCTAATGTAAACGCTATATTTATCTGGAAACATCAATGAGTAGAATGACAGCGGCACTGTGGCATACCGATGACACAGGACAGTCGGATAAGATATAAATATAATAAGCCACAGAGGTACACAGAATGCGCAAAGATTTCTTTTTAGATACGAAGATGAAACCATTAGAGCGCAAATGGACAGAAGACATATCAGTAAAGTTACGTTTGGCCAGGTAAATGAGAATACCGCAGGATTGGCTGATCCATTTGGGCCTAGTGTATCTAAAGACCCCAGCTAAAGGAGAAAATAGAGCCTTCTGGATGGAGCCTTACAGGGAGAAAACTCTCACAAGGATCTGATGGAGGAGGACCCTGAAGTTCTGTCTTACACGGCATTCCGGATCTCTCCCTTAAAAAGGTCTGAAGAAGGTTGATGAGGGCGGGCAATCTGGATGGATTGCTAAGCCAATCCCACACTATCCCAAAGTACGTACAAGCCTTGGAATGCTTTTGAAAATTCCTTCCATTTGTACGGAGGAGCTTTGTACAAATGAAAAGTATATAAGAACTGAACGCCAGTTCTCATGTTGCAGTTCCAAATTCTTGCCGAGCGATATTACTTCGATTGAGATCGTTGAACGAACAGTATATTTCGTACGTACGAAATTCTGTAAAACTAAATTAATAATTAAACAGATAACAATTAAATAATTAAAGAAATAACGTTGCACTGCAATTATAATTTAACATTAAATAATAACTGTTATTGAATTAAGTATTTATTTATTTCTTTTTTCCAAATAGATCTTGAAGCGCTTTTTCCAAGTTTTTCTGGTCCTACAAAGTGAGAAAAAATGGAATTTCCTGCAATGATCATTTGTTTACTTGCTCTTGCATGTGTGCGAAATACTATGTCGCATATGAATAGGCAGTTCAGGCAGGTACCGACGACACTACCGGCGGTACCGTCGGCACCGGCGGCACCGGCGGCACCGAGCATAAATTATAACAATACTCAATTTCCTTATCCCTATCCTACCTATCCGATTTATTCGAACAACGTTAATCAGATCGGGCAGCAACCTGCTGCCCCGGTAACGAATGTACCTGAGACTACCACATCGCTGTCTACCACCAACAGTACTAGCTTGGATACTTCCGACAGTAAATCTATTCTTCAACATATCAGCACCTATAGCATCTATGCGTTGCAAGTGTTGATGACAGCTCTTCTCGGCACGTCCTTAGTAAACTACATTTGTACGCAATGGTCTATCTGCGACTACCTCTTTGGAGAAAACAAGTTTTGGAAAACTTCTAACAAGGTAAAATAAAATATTTATTTATTTTTTCTTTTTGAACATGGATCTCGAAGCACTTTCAAAATTTGAATAATTATCGCCCATCTTGATCGTAGAGGATAAATCTTAATAAGAATTTAATTTATATATAAATTAAAAATGATGTTGATCTTGAACCGAGAAATTTTTGGCTTTTTTTCAAAATAATATTGGTATTTGTTTAACATGACATTTATTAAATAAATTTTTAGTGCGATTTTCTTTAAAGATGTATGTGTCATATTTTAAAGCATTATTAAAAATATAAATTTTTTATAGATTGTTCTACTTTTATTGGTTTAAATATAATTTAATTTTTTTGTTTGCCCTGATTTTTATCTGAAATCGTGTTGTGTAGTACTTATTTGCGAATTTGATAAAGCATGTTCTTTAAAATAACTTTTAAACAAGTAAACCCAAATGAATTTTTTCACGAATATTTATTAATTTTCTTAGTATATGTAAAAATTTTATTTAATTCTTAATGTTTCTTCCTTCAAATTTGCAAGTAAGCATTATGAAGTACGATTTTACATGAAAATCAATATAAACAAAAAATCATGTAATTTTTAAACCAGTAAAAAAATTGCGATTAAATTTTACATACATAGTTAGCATCAACAATAGAACAATCTATGATATTTTTAGTAATGCTTTGAGATGTAACGCATACCTTAATTATAGTATATTAAATTTGAATTAATTATTTTTCTTTTCCTCTCTCTCTCTCTCTCTCTAAAAACCACTTAATAACAAAAGTAATACTAGAGTGTCTATGAAAGAGCAATGAACTTAGCACGCTGACAGTGCAACTAAGGGTATGATCAACGCGTTGCTAAACACTTTGAAGCGTTTTTTAATTGGTCAGTTTGCAAAATTGTTTCTTCTAATTGGTCCATTAAACGCTTCAAAGCGTTTGTAGCGAGATTTTGACCACAGTCTAAATCTAAAAATAATAATAATAATAAGAGCGTAATCAATCAATGTGTTTCATTTATGTCCCGCAAATCTTCAATCAGAATTAAAAGATTTTTATATTTCTTATGCCATATTTATATTTTACTAATTGTACAGAGTAATTCTTAATTCTAACACACCGTGAATAGACACATAATGTTAATTATTTTTATGAATAATGAATGAATATGCATGTGTGAGCTTCGATGTTTATTTAGGGAGTTTTCCAGTTAGGAGATACAAACACAGTGTGAGACACAGGAATGTATAATTTTATTTGTCGTTTAAAAGGGCTGCTATATTTTTACAGCACACTGAAATTTTTTATCTATTCTAAATAGTTGATAGTCATGTATTTGATACACATTAATTCTAGCAACGAAATATAGTCATACACTGTATGATACAGTTTCAACTGATAGTTGAAACGTTGCTTAGTCTTTTTACTTCACCATCATAGTGAAATAAAGGAAAAAATTTCATACACGTATATCAAAATATTAATTATCGAATGAAATTTTGAAACTCTTATCAAAATATTACTCCTAGAAAAATAATGAAATGTAAAAATTTGGTATCGTGAAGTGAAAATGACGACACAATTGAACACAGTGTCGACTTGTGTTATAGATGGAAAGCACGAAATCGTACACTGTTTTATACAGTGTCTGTGTACGTTGCTAAAAAGCATCTTTTTTAAAGTAAATTTATATCATGTTGTGTCGTCGTTAGAAAGTGACACACTGTGTCACTTTGTATCGCCTGTGTCTCTTGCTGGAAAGCTCCCTTAAATAATTACCTGTAGACTTAATGATTTGATTGTTTGCGCAGGCAAGACGTATGGCCCGTTCGTACGAGACATTGAATTACTTGGATGATATCAGCTCTAGAGTCTTCAAAGCGATGGACTACTATAATAACCAGTCAAATTAGGGATTGAATAAAAATAAATAATGGGAAAACTTTTTAATACTATTTGTGTTTTTTTAATCAGTTTTATTATTATCCTTTTACTATATTTTTTGCATTTAACGTCTAATTTATTTAGTATTATTTTGTATACTTTTTTATAATCCTTTATATAATTTTTTAAATACTTTAAATATTTTTATTAATCTTTTTATAGTATTATGCATATGTTTGTATTTGGCTTTTTCTGTATTGCGAGGAAATTTTATACGTATTAGACGATGATATTCGCATAATGATATATTTGTACACAAAACATTTTCAATATAAATGATATGAATATGAAGCATTTCTTGTCGATTTACATATCTATTTGACGGCGTCATCACGAATAAGTATTTAATGTCTATAATTCCCGTATCCTGCACACGCTCACAAAACATGATATCATTTTTAATTATCGGGAATTTTTGTTTATTTTAAAATCAATGTGGTTGCTTCCCATATATTCACTTGAACATCGTCACTCTTGATCATGTTATCGAATAATCTTGCCAGATAATACGAAATTCTAGGTATTCCGAAGTCTCTCTTAGTAGAAATATTAACGTCATACATAAGTCACCGTTCCTTCTTTGGTTTTATAGCTACAAAGGAGAACTTTAAGGAGCAGTACTGAAAGTTAATTAGACATTTAATTAGGCAGTTAAATATCTATAATTAATGGTTTAATATTTCATTTTGATGATTTTGTCTTGATTCTTTTTTTTTAATGATTAACTAATTGTATGCTGAGAAAGACTTAGCATAGTCGAAACATTTATATATTAATTTATTATTCTTTTTACATTTATTTGAGAATAAATACATTTTTAATTTATCTAATTCTCAATTTGCTTGTATTATCTTTCTTTAATTGTTTTTACACGTAACCAGCTTGTTTAACTAATAACTTAAATACTCACATGTTAATACACGCTTTTTTGCGAATATATTAAACGATGTCATTGTATTTTTTAAATGTATATTTGTAAATAATTTTTAATTCCTTTACATTGATATTATATCTTTTTGTACACAAAAATTATCTGAGTGGAATTTAAAAGATAAACTCGGTTACTCTCAGCTTGATTATGATTGCATTCCCATGGTTACAACAGGTTATTATTATTCGTATATTTATAAACCTATTACTTAATTTTTTATTGTTATTTATTGTTTTCAAAAATCTCAGATTCTACAATAAAAAATATATGTATATATTGTATATACATATTATCATAAACTTCTACGGAATTATGTAAAAATGAGAAAAGGATCTCGCGATAAAGGAAATTTCAGATTCTACAATTACACATGTAACTAAAAATAAACTGGTAAAATGGAAATTTCCTTTATCGCGAGATCCTTTTCTCATTTTTACACGATTCCGTAGAAGTTTATGATAATATATATACATATATATATATATATATATATGTATATGTGCATATGCTAGTGTTATCAATAAATGTTAACAATACATTTTAACACGTGTATAAGAGAATCGTTCGCTCCTGAGTCATGTTCACTGTTTCCTCCTCCTGTTGATGCGATTTCCCCGCACGTCTCTCTGCGCTCGCGTATTATTACGTGTTACCACTACTCTTTCTCGCGAATGGGCTCTATAATCCATTGGATCGTCAGATGCTGACCGGTTTCGATCTGTACACTGGTCACATCGCAACCGGTCTGCTCACCGGGCGCATTATAAAGTAAAATCACGAAAATCACGTACGTTAATTCGTAAAGTTCTATCCGCAGAAGCTACAAGTCCTAACGCAAGATTGCGTAGTCATTTACTGATCATGTGGTTCCAATTGAGTGAGTAATATATCTTCTTTTTCATATTATATTAGTAGATTTTAGAAATCTATTCTTTCCAATTTTTTTTCTGAAATTATTAAATGATAACAGAAATGTAATAATAAAGACCTATCTTGCTATTTATAATTGGACAATATTTATCCAAATGCAGTATTTCAACTAATTGAAATAATTACACTGTTCAAATTTATCGGATTCAAAAATTAAAAAATCCCTACATTCCGCGCGCGATTAAAAAATATAAAGTTTTTAAATAAGTTATGAAATTATTTTAATATGCTGTTAAAAAAATCCACATTAAAAAATTAAGTTCTCTCAGACGAAATTTTGCAGAAAAATGTGGAAGCTAAATGTAAAAGTAAAAGTACAATGAGTCCGAAGGCCGACATTAAAATTCTTGAAATTCTTTTTTTATATAGACTACAAAAAATTGAAGGTTTTGTTTGTATAGATGAGGTTGCTGACCGCGAAAAATGCGGTTTCCGTTCGGATAAGCATTAATGTGGTCACTATTATCGATTCATATCTAGGAGTGTATGTTGAAATTATGAATTCTATAAAACAAGAATTATATGTACAATACGTTTGAAACTACAAATTTATTATTAGGCACATAATGGTATAAAATTCTTAGAAACAAATATAATATTCCTTTAAACATTGACAAGAGAATCATTAATGAAGAGGAATAACGTCACTGAATAATAAAGTAATTTAACATCAAAGAAACTTACAATTAGATCCAGCAAAAACTTAAGGATATTTAATATCCATTTTTTAAATAGTGGAAATTTAACACAAATTTTACATGTTTTTCTATTATTACGTCTGAGTATCTATGTAAAGTTTGAGCATAATTCTTTTATTGGTTTAAAAGTTATTTAATTTTATTGTTTGTCTCGATAATAAATATTTGTGTAAAAGTTTAATTTAAATTTAGTGAAATTGTTATCATCACCCTCAAAATGTAACTGCGTTATCATAAATGTTACTTAAAAGTAAACATAATGTTGTTATCCACTCGTTATCGAAAAAAATAACTTGTAACGATAACGATGTTACGAGTAATGTGTTACTTGCTAATCCTGCATATATATACATATATATAATATATAAAAATTTTTTATTTTTTAGAATATTTAATAAAAACACGATAAATTATTCTGTTAAGCAAAGATTGATTTTAAATTGAACAGATAATTTATAGATAAAAAAATCGGTTATTAACGATAAGATCCTCTCTTCAGGATGTAAATTATAAATAAAAAAATCTTATTTACAGGTTATTTATTGTGCTTCTTAATTGCGGTGGATTTTATAAAGGAAGATATCTGCGCAGTGGCACAAAATCCTGCTCAAACAAACATTTCTTCACAAATTAATCCTCAAGTTGAAGATGATGAAGATTTTGTGCCCTATCAGGGTGAACGCTTCACTGTATTCGATTGGATGTTATTTAGGGTACTTTTCATAGAATGCCCCTTATCAGTCATGATTACGTCATATATATCCGATCTTATATATCTAAAAAATAAAAATTAATTATTATCTAATCAAATTAATCCTTAATGGAATTCTAAAATCATCTGTTTTACCGATTCACTATAATGCCCAATTTCTTTACTTCTAGATAACTTTATCTAAGAGATGTCTCCCAGAATGGAGATATCTCCTGGATAAGGTTATCCGCAACTTATCTGGAAGTGAAGAAATTGGGCATAAGACTTATACACATACCACGTGTTATCGATACATCACTATATACGTATTATACTATACTATATCAATACTGCATGCACATATGTATACGTAAAATATCGTAAAACGATATTGTTAAGATTAAATGTCTAAAGTTTAATTGTATTAATGTTACTTTGACTTTAAACGAAACTTAAAACTCTATTTCTCTCTTTTGAGAGAGAGAGAGAGAGAGAGAGAGAGAGAGATCGAGTTTTAAGCCTCGCTTAAATTAAGTTAAAGTAATGTTGATGTAAACGGGCTTAAGAGTTTAATTCTAAGAACTCTACGTTGTTTTTTGTGTAATCTAGTTTAGTCTGTAGTTAATTGTAGCCTTCAATTTCGTAAGTACAGATTGCGAAGTTTTTATATCAAGTAAATGTATAATACTTGTCACAACTTAACAACTCGATAAGTCATATTGGACTGAAAAATGGTAAAGATCTCGATTTCAAAATTTTTTTCGTTCTCGGCATAAATTTCACATTAATACAGACTACTATTAATGCGTATATTTTAATTCTGGAAAAAAATTTAAATCTGTAATAGTAATATATGTGGGTATATGTGATATCATTCTACAAAAATTGCGTGTTTAATCGGCAAAACAGATAACGCGTAAGGATACCTTTAAAGGGATCCTAAAGATCAGTCTGATTAGATTGTAAATTGCACTTACACAGAGACAATTTACGTGTTATTGATACATCATTATACATACTACTACATCAATATCTCAGGCACATGCACGTATATACATAAATTTTCGTATAACAATAATGTTTTAATTAGACGTCTAAGTCTAATTTTAAGAATTCTATATTGTTTCTTCGTGCAAAACTACTAGTACATAGATTACTATTTCGTAAGTACAGATTGCACAACTTTTATATGAAGCAAATCACGACGTGACAGCTCTGAAACGCTATATTGGACTAAGAAATGATAAAGAAGAAATGATCTCAATTTCGAAATTTTTCGTTCTCAACATAAGCTCCACCTCACAGACATGTATTAATGCGTATACTTTATTCCTGGAAAAGGATTTTCGAATCAGTAAAAGAGAAAAAAGGTAATTGTTATACAAAAATTACATGGTTTAGTCAGTAATACAGACGACTTTAGGATCCCCTTAAATATGTCTTTTCAATATGGTATACCCAATTTTCCATTGTTTTTTTTATCGTTTTTATAACTATTTTATTAATAAAGATACAGGCATTTGCTTGACATCGTTATGTTATTCCTTAATGTTTGGCTTTTCGATTGAAAAAAATTATTTATATATTCATTTTTATGAAAATTATAAACAATCGAATTTGGTTAGATATGTCATACTCAAGTCCGTTGCTTAAATGTTAAATATGTAAAACAAGTTTTTCAGATATGTAAGTTTTTCAGAGCCGTTTTAAACTGCTTTT